GGTCCTTGGAGTCTGAGCCTGGGGACCACAGCGAATGATAGACATCCATGGCAACTCCTACCCAGACTGGCCGCATGTACTTCTTAAGGCCCATAGTGAAGTCTGCTGGATGGAAAACAGTGAGCCTAGACATCATTAAGCAGTCCCCAGGACCCCAGGCCTCTGTCACCACCCTGTGCCACCAGCATAGGGGCTCCACTTTGCAGTTTCCAGGGCACTTCCCTGCTCTTGCCTCCTTCCCACCTAGCAGACAAGGAAATGCTCGGGGAAGTTAGGGACTGGCCCAGATTCTTCACAAGTCCTCATGCATCCTTTCTATGGCTCCTCCCTCAGCAAAGGAGCGACCTTCCCCAGGTCAGACCCATCAGCCCCACCTCTCCCTCTGTGCACTTTCAGTGTGCCCAACCTGTGCCTTTCCCGGGACTCTTCTCTCTGCCTTGGAGCTCAGCTTTCGAGACTCTGCCCACCCTTCATCCAGTCCTTTGCTAAAGCCTCCATTCTAAGTTGCTGGCCTGGACCCTCTGGGCCTGTCCTCTGGTGATTCATTCTTATGATTCCTTCTGCAAGAATACCCAGTGCCGAACATCATCCTGGAATGCATTTCAGAAGTTCATTTATTGGCATGAGGATTTTCTCTTAAAAAAACTTTTAAGATTTTCTGAGGATTTTCTCTTTAAAAAACTGAAAAGTGCTTTGTTTTAAAGCAGGAAAGTTGCATCACTGGGAAGGAGCTTGATAGCCCCATTTGGTTAAGCATCACCCTGGCTTTGATGGTAACAGTCATGCGACTTGGTTGTGGAAGGATCTGCTGGCTTCTGTTCAGACCCAGGGGGCCTGGCTGTGCCTGGAAGATACCTCTGTAACATACATACCCTTGGGTCCTGGGCCATTGGTGCCCATTGGTGGTCTGCCACATGGGTGGGCACATCTGGGAATGGTGTGTCAAGCCTCCTGGGTGGTCAGAGGGGTAAATGTCCTCCTGTGTCAATCACTGTCACCAGAACTTCCCGAGCCACAGGGAGCAGGGCCTCATCTCAGCCTGCGAGAGCTTTGGAGCTGTCAGCCGTGGCAGCTGCCGCCTCTCACCCGGTGCTGCATGCCCGCCTGCAGAACGCAGCCTGGTCTGTGCATCTGTCTTCTGTCAGGCACACACAGCAGGAAGGCTGGTGTCTGCTGGTGCACACATGTGCATGCGACATGCACATGCCTGCACACGCCTGCGCCCATCCAAGAGCTCCCCCTCCACCTGCCTCATGCCACCCATTCTGGGCCGGCTCACTGTGGCAGCGGTGAGGACTGCACAAGTTCAGACACACCCCTGCTCAATGCGAAGCCACAGCTCCTCTCACTGCACACCCTTCTGTTTGATGCCCCTGTTGCCTGCCCTGGTGACAAGAGTCTAATTATGACCAACCTTTCTTTTGGTGAAGGAAGATGAGGGCGTCCTTCATCACATCAGTGAGGGGCTTTATCTCCTGTCAGTGTGAAGAGTGTGAAGGGTGGGTGAGTAGGTGCCTCAGACGGCCAGCTGGGTGCTGATGTAGAACTGGAGGGGGCGGGCCGAGGGGACAAACAGCTGCCCATGCTTCAAACCTGACAAATGTCATGTTCAGAGGCTTCCAGACTCCAGCTTGCCCGAATCATGCCCCTAGAGACCCTCAGAGAGTCACAAGTGGGTCCTTTGCCTGAGATGCTCTGCCACCCTCAGTCCAGCAAAGTCACCACCCATCTCCACAGCGCCTCCTCCTCCCCTGAGCCCTCAGGCTGGAACGACTCCTAATTCTGTTCTGCTGTGACAGAGTGGAGCACCCAGTGGGCAATGATAGTTTCTTTGCCTTTACCCAGGTTGGGTGTCACCTTCTGAAGACAGCAGTGGGTCTTACTTGTCTCGTGGCCTTGTGCCCAGCACAGGGTCCTGCAGGGGGGAGGCGCTCAGCGCACTGTGGTCACAGAAGGTGCAGACTAGGGAGTACATGGGTGGCTCACAGAAGGCAGAGGGACTTTGGAGGGGGAGCAGTGGCATGGAAGGGCTTCCCAGGTGCAGGGCCTGGCGGAGAGTGGGGTTGGGAACCCATCTGGGGGAGGAATGGGTAAAAATAAATCTGAATTAGAGATGTGCTGTCACCCTGCCTATCTGTCTCCCTGTTCATCCATCTGTCCTTCCCTCCATCCATCCATCCACCCATTCCTCTATCTTTTGTCCAATATTTATCGAGCATCTGTTTAGAACCAGGCACACAACTGGTTTAAACTTTTAGGGCTGGTCAGAACAGCCCTGGGGCTCGTAGATGCCAGAGCTGCATATTTCCTACTTGTTCCTTATCTTCCCTTGAGATGGATCCCGAGAGTTAGGAAGACAGGATAGCCCAGGGTGGCGGCAGAGTGCAGACCCTGCCTCACTGAGCCACCCACTTTATTTCAGTTCAAGATGACAAAAGATCAAACCTTCTCTAGGGAGAAAGACAAGGGCATTTATCTGATTGGGGAGAACAAGTCACACAGAGGAAAGTCAAAGCCGACTGTGCTGTCAGGAGCAGATGTGGGTGTAAGACGGGCGCCATGGAGACCCTGCCGGCTTCTCCAGAGCCAGCATCACACTTGTGTTCTCGCCTCCTCTGCTCTGCAGACGCGTCTCATCACTCAGTGCTTCCTCTGGTTTCTGGTCAGCAGGAAGCCTCTCCCCGCAGCTCCCGCCATGCAGCCCGCAGGCTGTGAGGGATGCCAGTTTCATCCTGGGAGCTTGTTTTTTTCTGAGCAGGGTATGGGGCTATGATGTGAAGCTATTGGCCCAGGCTGCAGAGTGGCCAGGCCTGCCCTCTCAGGAGGGAGGTGGACCCACTAGGGGGTGGCTGTCTAGCCTTCACTGCTGCTGTCCCTGCTGGATCCAGAAGCAAGGGCTGAGGGCAGAGAGAAATGGGACAGAACACTGGCTCCCAGCCCTGACTGTGAGTTCCACAGGAGAGCAGCAGGGCTTCCCACCCATCTGGGGCTTCTCTCTTGGGGGTAGTGGCTGGGGCCATCTCCAAGGGCCTCCCCTGAGGGGCCTTGGCCTGTGTTTGGTACCCACATCCAAGGGGTCGTGAGAGCGAAGCTGGCTCTGCATGCTCTGTGATAGTGAGGGGAAGGTGTCTAAGGAAGATCAGGCTAGCCCCAACTCCTCTGGTGTAGGGAGAGCATGAGGGGGATGCAGGCTTCTGGCTTCTGGAAAGCACTAGCTGTTAGGAAGGAGAGTCTGGGCTCCCCCTGCCTCACCCCCTGCCCCAGCACCACAGGTAGGGTCCACAGGTAGTAAAGATCAGAGGTGTGTCCTTGGTGGCTTGTGCTAGGATGGTCATAGTACAGGGGCCATGCACACGGGCCCTCCTGGCCTCGTCCCACAGTTGTACCTCTGCTGTCCATCTCCACCTGTGTCATGTACCACGTTCCCCTCCCTCCTAGAGAACAACAGCATCAGTCCTGGTATCCCTGCCAACCCTTATCACCTTCTCGCTTATGGGACACCTGGACAGAACAAGAGGAGAGGACCACAAATGTGACCACCCTTGTTCTAGTCCCAGCCTGCCTGCCCTCCCCTTGCCTGCTGTGTGGCATTGGGCAGACACTCAGCTTCTCTGAACCACTGTTTTCTCATCCTGAAAACAGACCAAGATCCTCCCACCAAGACTGGGCCCTGAGCTTGGGGGGTACTAGACCTGTGGCCTTCAGTAGGGCACCTTCCCCACTGTCATACCTTCTCCCATCTCAGCTGCAGCTGGAAGCTGGCACCCAAGATCCTACCAGACTTCAAACTGCAAACCTTGGGAATAGTCGCCTTGGAGGGCCCTGCCCCTCCAGCACCAGGGCCATCCTGCTATTTTTATCTGCCACTGGTTAATCTGTAGCATTGCTCAAGGCCTGGGCAGCTTCTCGGAACAATTTTGCCATGTAGTGTTGCCACCGTGACCTCAGATGGTGACCTCATTCCAATGCAACTACCCGCCAGGCAGAAAAGTGCATGGAATTCCAGTTTCCAGTAAAGAACGTATTCTCATAATCTGCAGGAACATTAAAATGGCTAATGTAGGCATCTGCAGTAGGGATTAGACCAACTTGTTAAAATAAAACCCAGTTTATTTATTTATTGGTGGTATCACAGTGACGTGCATGGATCATGAGCATTCAGCTCCATGAATATTTACAAGCCTGCTGTGTAGCCAGCTCCTGGATCAAAAAATAAAGCACTCTCATGCCCCAGAAGCTTCCACCATGCCCCTTCTGAGTTTCCCACAGCAGATTCTGGCCCAGAACAGGACCTCCTTAGCCAATTGGCTGGGGGGTGGGGGTGGCAGGATATAGGGTGGCATAGTCAAATGTGGCTCTGAGTCTCAGAGGGGCTTTAAGAAGGATGGGGGATGCTCCAAGGAACTTAAGTATTTGCTAGAACAAGGGTGGTTACACCACTGAAAGCAAACAAAAGGACACTCAGCAAGACTCCAGGCCTGAGCTATGTCCTCAGGCTGTGCCCCCCCATTTCCAAGTGGCTGTGAAACCTGGTTCTCTGAGCCTGGGCCCCAAGTTCTGAGCCCAGGTGGCCGCCTCCACCCCCACAAGAAGAGCACATTCTCTGGTCTGTGCTACACAGGCCCAAGTGGCTGGGGTTGTTGGGCAGTGTCCTATCCAGGTGACCACCTGATCCTCCTGACAGCGGTCATTTCATGAACCCAGAGCACAGGCAGTTACAGGCCTCTCCCCACTCCATCGTCAGGTCACTGGTAAAAGCTGCCTCCTCTAACTCCCTCCTCGGGCCTGTTTCCTCTCTGGGGAGAGACCTGTTCTTCTCTTTACCTGGCGACAGGATCTCAGCACCCATGAGGACTGCTCTGTTGGGCCACTCCAAGCCTTTCCATGCTTGGTCTTCTCGGCCCTTGGTGTCTAGCAGGGCCCAGTCCTGTGTGGGTTGACCAGGCCACCTGGACCCTTATGAGACATCATCACCTTGTATTTTGTCTGTGATTCTTCAGCTCCAAGAAGCCCAAGAAACCCCCTAAAGTGGCTGTGAAACCTCGACCCTCACCCCGGCTCACCATCTTTGATGAGGAGGTGGACATGGAAGACAGGCTCTTTGACCCAGGCAGGAAGCACTCCCCGCAAAGCCCCTCAGAGGAGCCACCTCCCTCAGACTGTAAGTAGAGCCTCAGGCTGTGATCCTGTGCTCTTGGTGTCTTTGCTTAGTGGCTAGCCTCTGTCACTAAGTGGGCTTTGGACCTACTGTGCGTAAACAGAACACATCTTCCCCTTGTCCTGTTTAGCTGTGATACAGACATGGGTTTAGGGGCTTCCAGGCACGGTGAGTTGGGAGTGGGTGCTGGTATGCCTTGGGTGCACACGGACTCTTCAATGTAGAGTCTAACAAGAGAGTGTGTGTCACCCGTGTAGACTCCCCTAGAGGGCCCTGTGCCGAGTCAGGAGAGGGAACACTGGGAGCCTTGGGACTTCTTTGTCCCTGGGTCTGACCTTCCTTCAGGCCTGCCTAGTCCTCTTCCAGGAGGGAGTTGCTGCCACCCACTAATTCAGCCAGCACATGCTGGGTGACCACCCAGGGCCAGGCTCGAGGACACTAAGGAGTAAGGCCTGGTCCTGTCTGCAGGGCCTCAGAGCAGCATAAGTCTGTGACGGGCTGAGCAAAAGCGTCAGCTCCTGTGGATGCCCAGATGCTGGGTGGGACATTGGGCTCCATGTGAGCTGGGCCCTGGAAGGTCAGCCAGAGTTTGCCATGCCCTCTGGAGAAATGCATTCATCCAGGCAAAAAGGCCACAGTCTGCTCTCAAAGGGCAGCCCCGCTCAAATGAGCTGGGGGAGGATGTGGCAGGGAGACATGCCCACATGCCTACTTCAGGGTAGTGGCTGTGGTCAGACCTTGTTGTGGGACAGAGCCGCCATGGGGGCAAGCTACAAGCTAGGAGAGCCAGCTGGCCTGGACCCTGAGGAGCCGGCACAGCGACCCCAAGAGCTGTGACCTCCTAAAGGCATGGGAAGCCCACGAGGGCTTGAAACTGGGGTGGTGCCACCAGCTGACTGGCCCAGGTGCTGGAAGTCCGGGCAGACTGCTGAGCCAGGCCATCAGTGAGCTCCTGTCCTCCTGCCCTCCCCACCCTCACCAGCTCCTATCGCTCTAGTTTTCTACTTATCTATCTCCTGGGTGTGTGGGAGGCTGGGCCCCGTCTTCCCCACCGGGAACCCCAGGTGGCTGAGCAGGCCAGGACCTCCTCTGACCCCCTGCTGCCTTTCCCACAGCTCTGAAGCTGTTTGATGATCCTGACCTCGGCGGTGCTGTCACTCTGGGTGACTCCTTACTGCTGCTGCCAGCTCCCTATGAGAGCAGAGGCCCCACATCCAGCCCAGGCCACAGGGATTCCTCTGAGGAACTGTTCAGGTACCACCTGTCCCCAACAGCACCTCTTCAGCTCTGCGGGTAGCCTGGGCAGAGCCAAGGGCCCCTCCGTATAACAGCATTTCCCTGGCCTCAGCCTCTGAGGGGAGGAACCCAGCCTGTCAGAAACAGGGGCCTGGGGGTGCAAACTGGCCAAGAGGCAATGCAGGGCTCAAGGAAGGCTCAGCAGCCCAAGGCAGCTCAGTCCTTCCAGAAAGAACTTCATATGCACAACCAGTCTTTTTCTTATCACACTCATATTTTAATAGATTCTATAAAGATAATTATGGAATCTCAAGAGCAGGTGTAACTGGCATCATTGAGTTTGAGAACAGGGAAACTGCTTCTTAGTAGCAGCCTGCCCACAAGGAGCAGAGTGCAGGCGTCCTAGCTGCTGGCCATCTCCAGGAGGGTCCAGTGGTCAAGCTTTAGAGCAGGGAGGGGCCTGAGGCACCATCTGCCACATCTGCCAAGGCTTGTCACTGGTGCAAGTGACAGCCCTGTTTCCTGAGTGCTTGCTGTGTGCCAGTTAGCCAAACTCCTTACCCATCGCCTTGCTTAATCCTCGCAACAGCCCCCTATGGTAGGTGCTGTTTTCTCCATATTGTAGAAAGTGGAGCATGGGAGAGGTCACCACTCCACTGGAGACTCTCTGAGCACTTGGCCAGACGATCTGCCACCCCCGCTCCCCACCAGCCCCTGGTTCTCCCTGGGCTTCCCCCAGCTGTGATCCCGGTGAGCTTGGCACTGTGCCTTTCTCTATATCCTCATCACCCCTGGTACAGGGCTGTGCCTGGTGATTCACAAGAAACCAGGCAGCCTCTTTCCAGGAACTGCTGGTGCGACACCAAGGCCGTGTGGTCCCTGGAGGCTGTCATCTGCACCCCTCGTTAGCAGCCTCGGACTATCAGACAGCTCTCCGAGTGTCCGCCAAGCCTGAGTGACTGTGACGGCTCCTTGTATCTACATGTCCCCAAGGCCCTTGGCATCTGCTCACTCTCGTCCTGTGGCTTCTCTCCTGACATCACAGCAGGCTGAGTAAAAAACAGGATTATTATTTCATTAGTAAGGAAACCAAGGCACAGGGGGGCAGGTGCTAGAGTCATCTGGGGGAGGGACATGCCTGGGCTGAGCACGCCTAGGAGACCATGTTTCCCGAGGGAGCAGCTCTCCTGGGGCCTTTCTGGCCTTGTTTGTCCCAATTTCTTCCCATTCCATGTTCTGGAGAACACAGTACAGTAGGGTGTTAGAAGGGGCTCTGTGGCCCTTGCTGTGAGTCAGAAAAGGCGAGGCCTGTGGCACATGGTCCAGTATCACACAGCACATCACATTCTTGTTGGTCCCTGGGACCTGTCCTTTGTGGTGCCTCTTAGTACACGGCAGAGCTCTTTGGGAGTCCCTGCTCAGTGTGCATGCTGCATCGGCCCTTTACAGGTGGTGGGGACATCTGCTATGAAAAGATCAGGTTCTTGAAAGTAGGAACCAGATGTTAATTGTTTGTCTGCCCTGTGATTGTGTAGGCAGTAATTGGGCTTTTTCATAATAATGATGCTCATTCATTCATTCATGCTCCTACCTCACATCCAGCCTGTTGCTAGCCTCAGCTATCCCAAAGCAGCTTGGGTTGTACACCAAGCAAAGTTTGGAATCTAGAAGCCTCCAGTCCCTCTGTTGTGTAGCCACTCCAGAGCTGGACTGAGTTCTGTGCTCTCCAGGGGCTGGGCCGGGGAGGGGGTCGGGTCCCTCACTGGTGCACTCACACCACCTGGTCCTGGGCCAGAAGGGAACTAGTACTTGTACTAGTGAGACTTTTTCCTGGCCATGAGTCAGGGACCCCAAATGGACACAGGGTACTTGGAAAGGGAGTGCCCGTGCAACCACCTATATCCCAAGAGCTGCTGCATTGCCCCCCCCCCCATGACTGGCCACCCACACACACCTCCCACCTCACAGCAAATCCAGCTGCTGATTAGTTCCGAAGAGTCGCTGCTTTCCCAAGCAGGATAATCCTGAAATCTGACATGAGCTGTTAGCTGCTGCTTTCTGTTCCTAAGGACCCACGTTTAAGGATAATTCCATTCCTTTGAGCTTTCTCTGGGCATCCTTATCCTCCAGTGGAGGATGCAGGAGGAACCAGCACCTGCCCCAGGGGGTTGTGGAAGGGCTGCCACTGGGCAGAAACAGGTCCAGTCCGTGGGTGAGGCCTCCCGAAATTGCCTCAATCCCAAGGCATCTGCTACTCTCTCCATGCCTGGACTGGCACCTCTGGGTCTAGAAAGGAAGGATACCTTTCATTCACTTTTATGCCAGCAGACTCTGAACTCTCTCTCTCTAGGGTCAGTGCCCTATTGCAGGTAGACCCAGGAAGTGGAAAGGACAATCCTGAGCTGCTTCAGCAGCTGATCTCTGGCAGGTGGCCCCTCTGGGGGGCTGTACTGGGCACCTCCACATTCCATAGGCCTCTCCTAGGCCTAGTTCTGACCAGTGGTACCTGCCCCTCCCCAGTCCTGCTGATGTCTGAGCTGGAGTGATCCTCTTGTTCCCATTGTCAGGCCTTCTTAACAGCCCAGTTTCCCAGGAAGCCTTCCCAGCCTGCTCTGGCCCATAGGTCCCTCCCTTCTCTGGCATGCAGTAACTTCTTTCCAGACCTTTGCAGTTATGTCCTCTCTGGCTGCTGAGGCTGCCCAGCAATGAGCACAGAACTGGCTGCCACTTTATGTTTTATGCATGCTTTGCTCAGCACCTGTGGCTCTCAGTGAGATCAATAACTGCAGTATCCCTTTACGTTTGGAAAAGACTTTCCATTTGTTCTTATTTGATCCTTGTAAGAATCCCTGTGAGGGTGGCAGAGCAGGAATAATCCCACTTTACAGGTGAGGGAACTGAGGACTGGGGAGGCGGAGTGGCCAGAGGTACCTGATGAGGAACGTTGGGGTGAAGCGTGAAAGCCACTTCTGCTTGCAGTGCTGTACACAGCTGTGTGTAGCCCGGCCAGGTGATGCTGTCCCTCTTCCTTTTGTAGCTGAGGACATCAAAGCTTGGCATGGCTGGGTCTCCCCAGAGTCTTCTGCCCCCAATGCTTCCATGCCACCCCTGCCAGCCTGGCTGAATGATGCCTCTGGCATTACCCACTACACACAAGGATAAACCCCACCCAGAAGCTGGAACCCACCTGCCCCAGGAAGGCGAACACCCCTAGAGAACCAGCCATACATGGGCCAAGTCCTGTTTGTCTTCTCATTATCTGTGGGGCCAGAGCAAGGCCCTTTACCATTCTTGCCTCAATTTTCAAATCTGTAACATGGAACTACTCTCTGCTACTGGACAGTGTTTTAAGATTATGATGTAAGTTAATGGACATAGAAATGTCTGGCCACAGTGAATACTCAGCACAGTGTTGAGTGTGGGTGGGTGGAGCAGACAAGGAGTCTGCTGCTAGGCCTTGGTCTCTAGGGATCAAGAGAGCTGGTGGAGCTGCTGGATCTCCAGAGTGTCTCCTGCTCCACCTCAGGTGCAGAGCCCCTGCTTGTTCTTCAGTGGTTGAACTTGATTTTGGTGACAGCTCAGCTTCTGTGGGCTGACACCCTGGTTCCTGCCAACTTGGGCACTGTTGTGTGCTGTCCTCTCAGGGCCACTTGGCCTCCTCGGTCTCCAGCTTCCTTGTCTGCAAGGTGGGAACACAGTTTACCTCCCAGAGTGGTGTTCTAAGGATGAAATGAGATAACATGTCTAAGGGGCTCAGTGGGGAGTGGGAACTCTGGACATGGTAGCTGGTAGTTCTTTCTAGAGGTTTGGAGGGAAAGCCCCCAATGAAGCTGGGGTGCTTAGAGTCGGGTCACCTGAAGAGCAACTCTCAGGAGCCTGCGAGGGGCTGGCTGTGCACCTGATATGCTGTGGCAGGGAAGGAAGAAGAGCCTTGGCCTGCAGGGTCCCCTAGGACAGGATGGGTGGACAGGCCAGGGTAGGCAGTCCTGGGGCGGGATGGTCTTGCCCCTTCTATGGAGAAGGGCTATGCTCAAGGGTGCCTCCTTTTCGTTTTCTAGAGTCGAAGAGGACTTGGACCAGATTCTGAACCTGGGTGCTGAGCCCAAACCCAAGCCCCAGCCTAAGCCCAAGCTACTGGTGGCTGCGAAGCCAGCACTACCCAGAAAGCCAGCTGTTCCCCTCAAAGCAGGCCCATCTGAAGCAGCAGCTGGGCTGCAGAAGCCACAGCAGCAGATCCAAGCCATGGACGAGATGGACATCTTGCAGTATATCCGGGACCATGACACACCTGCCCAGGCCACCCCCAGCCTCTTTTGACCCACCCCCCACATGCTGGCCCTGGCCTGGGCAGGCCTGCCTGTGAGGTATGGGGGAGGGGCACGATGCCCAGCCAGGCCAGGACTCCATTCCCAAAGGAGTTGGGTGGAACCCTTGGTCACAGGACCCACAGCTGCATTTTCACCTTTTCTCGTGGGCTTTGGGGCACAGTGGAACCCTGTAGGCCCCAGAGAGTGAAGGTCATCCTAGGAATTGGGGTCCAAGTTGTCTCAGTCCCCATGGATGTGGAAGAGAGAGTGTGAAGATGCCTTGCCACCTAGGCGTCCAGCCCCCCAAATGGGCGCAGGCAGCAAGTAGGTGTCAGATGGGCCCTTGACTCTGCCAGCCCCAGCATAGGAGGGAGGGCCTGGCTAGACTGAGGTGAGGCGTGTCTATGCCAAGCCACCCCAGAGTCTCTGCAGGTGCTTGGCAGTCTCCCCTAAGAGAGATATTGAGCAGGAGAGCCAAACCATCTTGGGGGTTCAGACACGAACCTCTCCTGAGCATTCTGTAGTTAGCAGCTCTAAGAGGAGAAGTGAGGCCCAGCCCTGCCTCTTGAGTGTAGAAGGCCCTGTCAGGCTCCAAGGCTTTCTCCCTCTTCCTTTCCCAGGAAAGGACTGGCCAGCCATTGCCTACTTGGGCTTCAGGACACAAAGCCAGCATCCAGCATTGCAGCTGTCAGCAGAGTGGGTCACAGCCGCACCCCCCACACTCAGCAGGGGGCCAGGCTGGGCTTCCATCTGGTTCCACCTCCCTCTCCCAGGGGCAGGATGCTCTTGGGCTTATGCTCCGAGGCCTTCACTGTCCTCAGGGTCTGGACCTGATCTGTGGCCTTTCAGCAGCAGAGCTGCCTTTCCAGGGGGCAGGAACCATGTGCCAGGGCAGGGCCAGTGCCTTAGACTTCTCCTGACCCCTCAGAGCCCTGGCACACAGGTCTGGGCACCATGAAAGTGCTCAGGAAATTCTCAGATATTTAATGGAGCAAAGAATGTCAGGATAAAGAATGTCAGAATTTCTTGGATAAATTCTTTATGTTCAGGGCTAGTTTTTAATGAAATGCAACCGCTGTTGTTCCTTGGCCTGTCCTGCCTGGCAGAGGTATTAGAGGGGCTGGGACTGGAACCTCAGACCCTTTTCCAATATACACCAAGACTCAACCCTGAGGGCCCCGGTTGACACTGGGTTTTTGCAACCGTCAGGGTCTAGTACCACCAGTGCCTGCCCCATGCCAGGACCTGTCTGCTCTGTCCTGCATCTTGCTATGTCCCCCACCAACTCCTAGTCCTGGGAAGATCCCTGCCCTCCCCTCCATCTGTGCCGGAGTGAGAGAGAACTGGTGGTTCAGAGACAGAGAGCTAAGTTCCTCCTCTTCCTCCCCAGCTCTGCACCCCTTGCTGATGGCAGAGGAGGGAAGGCATGGCGAGGTGGGGGTCCGTGTCTCCCTCGGGCTCCTTCCCCTCCCTACCCTCTCCTATGCATTCGTCACCTTTGGTGAACAGGGCAGAGAACACACAGGGCTAGTGACTGTGGGGCTGGTTCTCTGGTGGGGGTCCTGGCCTGCCACCCTGGTGTGGGGTTAGGCCCTTTGGACCAACCGCCTCCATGGCCTGGAGTTCTCTGAACATGCAGTGGAGGTTTGTGTTTCCCCAGATGTTGACGATCCAGTTGTGGCTTGTTTTTACTGCAGATCTGTGATCTACTGGCCAATTGATGACAGTCGTCATCCAGTAAAGCCTGTGTCCTTGACTTATGCCAGCATTTATTAGTGATGTTCTTTTCTGTGCCTGGGCTGATGAGAGATGACAGGGGCCAGGGAGTACAGGGGATCGTCCTTTGAAATGATGGACCCAGGCTGCTGCTTATTGTGGTCGGGGAAGGGGGGGATTGTGGTGCTCCTTCCCACTGTGTAAACTGAGGCAGAGGGGCTGGAGGCCCAGGCTGAATAGGGTCATCCAGCCAAAAATGGCTCAGCTAAGACCTGTGTGGAAAGAGGATCCCTTCTCTCTCCAGGCTTCACCTCCTGTCTCCCCACAGTGGGACTTGTCTAGACTTGGACTGGCCCCAAAGCCCTTCAGCTCTGACATCAGTGGCCCTGCCCATCTTGTAAACAAACCTCTTTTGCCTTCTCACCTGCCAAGGGTCAGATTCCGAGATGCTCCTTCAGTTCTGGGACCCAGAGATTCTGATGTAGACATTTCTGCAAAGCGACAACCCACTGGAGAACTAGAAACTGGTTCCCAGGGAGCAAGGGCAGCTGCACGGCCCCTCTTCCCCCACAATGTGGGTTTGGGTCTTGTAGCCAATATTGAATTGGTGCCTTAGCTCCCAAGGACAGGCATTTGGGCTGTTCTGAGGTCTGCTCAGCCCAAGAGCCTACAGCTGAGAGTCCACTATGGAGGGGAAACTGAGAGGTTTAATTCAGGACAGCGAGATCTGTTTATTTGGAAGCCTGTTGTGAGCCCAGGACAGGATGTGCTGTCTGTGGCTGGGGTCCTGCTGCTCCCTTCCTCTGGGTATTATTCCTCTCAGGAAGCCAGGAACTCAGGCTGTTTCTCCTGGAAAGTCCCTGAACTACAGCCTCTCCTGGCCAGGCCCGTGTCATGGGCTCCACTGGACAGCACCCACTCGTTGAGCTCTGGCAGCCTGTGACTGTGTCAGTACACCATGCAGGCAGTGGGCTGCTCTGAGGCTCGGGCCCTCATGCCAGATGCAGGCGAAATAGCAAAGCTCAGCTGCTCTCCATGGTCCTGTGGCCTTACTGCCAGCAGCCACCTGGGCATTGTGTTGACATACTCTGTGCAGGGGGTGTGACACTTGGTGTCAGGGTGATGTGGAGAGTCATGCTCAGTTCTCCAGCTCACCAGCTGTGCAGCTGAACAAACCCTGGGAAAGAGAGAAGGGCAGCCTGGCTGGTGGCCCTGGCTGGACGGCAGGCAACTGCTGCTGACAGCTTCACATGGCTTAACGGCTGTCCTGAGCAGGCACAGTCAGCTCCTAGAGCCTTTTCCTGGTTCTGCTCCCAGCAGACTCTGATAACTTCGAATCATTCCCTGCACAATGCCCCAAGGCCTGGCCGGTGGGGAAGCTGACTGAGGGGCCCGCGGGAAGTGGCACAGACCAGTCTTGGGGTTCTCACATAGCCCACAGCAGCTATGAAACAGCAGCCAGACTTTGTCCAGCTCTGCTAGGTGACATGTCCTTACCCAGAAGTGACAAATGAAGGGACTTACCCAGGGTCATGTGAAGGGACCAGGTAGAGTGTAAAGTCCGATTTGTGCTTGAAGGCATTTTAGCAGACCCGGTCACATGAGCTCCTCAAAAAGAGACCCCTACACAGGACTAGCTGGCTGCTAAAAGGAAGTGGCAGGCACTCAGGCAGGTGGTCAGAAGGCCTGTCGGCTTCAGCTCAGCTAAGCCTCTGGCCCTGGCAGATGGCTAACTTCCATGCCAGGTGTGGTCCTGCCATGTGGAGAATGTGCCACGGTACACAAATACCTGCCTCGTGCCCCATGGCTGCTTCTACCTCTGTATTGCATGGATCTGGCTGCTGGGGAAAGCCAAGGGATTTCTCTTCTGGGGCTAGGCATGGGATAAAGCAGCCGCTTCTGGAGTGGGATTATGGGCTCAGCACGCGGCCGCCGCAGGCAGGAGCTCTATTGAGAACTTTCAGCGGCCAAGACTTCCCTGCCAGCTCAGCAAATAGCCGCTGCTGAACGGCTCTCAGATACAGCAGGGTGAGCTTCCTCCAGCCCAGCTAGCCAATCACGCTGTCTGTTTCTCTATGCAGAATGCATCCAGAAATGCTCAATTTAATGGGCACCTACTGTGTGCAGTACCTCTTCCAGGCAAGTTGGAAGAAGCAAAACTGAAAAAACTGGAGTCATTAAAGCCAATTCTACCAGGAGCCATGCAGAGCCCCTAGTGTCAGTTCAGTTCTTTGAGGCTTCTGCCCAAACATGAGGAACAGCTGAATGAGGCCCCTCATTCTCCACGCGGCCTCTTGCCTGTCCTGCTCCCCTCTGCACCTGCCAGCATCTGTTGTCTGCAGCCTGAGCTCAGCTTTTGGTCACTCACTGCATCAGTTTCCCAGGGGGGCCATAACGAAGCACCACAGACTGGGTTACTTCAAACAACAGAAATTTATTCTCACAGCAGTGAGGTAGGAAACCTAAAATCAGGGTGTGGGCAGGGCAGTTGTCTCAGAAGGCTCCAGAGCAGTGGTTCTCAACCTTCCTAATGCTGTGATGTATTTTCATTGTTACAAAGGGGTCATGACCCACAGGTTGAGAACCACTGCCCTAGGGAGATCCTTCTTCCTTCTTGGTGGCTACTGGTGGCCCTTGGAGTTCCCTGGTGTATAGCTGCGTCACTCTAATCTCTGTCTTTGTCATCTCTACTGTGTCTTTGTCTCCCACATTGGTGTCCCCTCATCTCCTCTGTGTCGGTGTTCAAATTTTCCTCTTATAAGAAAGAACATCAGTCACTGAGTTGGTATGCACTGTAATCCAGGATGAACTCATTTTATCTTATTTACACCTGCAGAGATCCTATTTCCAAATAAGACCATTTTCACAAGGTCCAGGGGAACATGAATTTGAGTATCACTGGTCACTCCTGTGTAGTTACTGGCCTGAGCACTTAGCATTCGGGAGGAAGCAGAGGCAGTCAGGGCCCACTTCTGTCCTGCAAAGCGCGGCCCTGTGCTGTACCTGTGAGCACAGTATTTCAGCAGTAACCTTGCATTCTCACTGCCTGTCTGAGGAGAGGGCACATCGGAGAAGGAGCTGCATGGGCAGTGGCATTTGTTGGACACCTACCATGCACCACCACTGTAGGGTCCTCATTTGCAGCTGCTGCCAGGAATGTTAGAACCTCTCAATCAAAAGTTTCATCTCTTTATTAGTAACTTGAGACCAACATGTGGCATGAACTGGAGATTCAGTCACTCAGAGCTCTCCTGGCCAGCAGCGGGCCAGCAGCGTCCCTTTCCCTTCCTACAGGCAACACAGCTCTGGAGAGGCCTCCCCTGGCTGGGCCAGCACCTTCTGCTCAGCACCTGGTCCTGACAGTCTTCCAGGTGGCTGCTTCCTGGGGCTCCCCTCTGCGGTCACCTCATCTCCCTCTCACTAGGCTTCCAAGGATCAAAAAGGCTCTGGGGAGAGTGGCAGTGGGATGGGGCCTGAGGGTACAAGAGCTGCCAGGGACTCCCCCACACCTCTGCCTGCTAGGCCAGTGGTTTTTTGTTGTTGTTGTTGTTTGTTTGTTTTTGAGACAATCTCACTATATTACCCTTGGTGGAGTGCTGTGACATCACAGTTCACAGCAACCTCAAACTCTTGGGCTTAGCGATTCTCTTGCCTTAGCCTCCCAAGTAGCTGAGACTACAGGCACCTGCCACACAATGTCTGGCTATTTTTTGTTGCAGTTGTCGTTGTTTAGCTGGCCTGGGCCAGGATCAAACCTGCCACCCTCGGTGTATGTGGCTAGCACCATAACCACTGTGCTTTGAGCCAAGGCTGGTGTTCTTTCTTTGGGGAGATCACTGTTGATGTATGTTTCTGTTTCTCTCTTTGGTTTAAAAGGCACTTTGCTGACTTCCCCTAACAAGTGCTCAAATCCCAGAGGGCTTTTATTTTTTTTTAAGATTAACAAGTAGAACAAAGCTGAGTTTTTGTCCACCTGTTCCCCAGACCTTCAGAAGTAGCTGTAAGGCTAGACTTGATTCAACGCCTGCCCTTGAGGGCCTGGACTCTGATTAGGCTCCATCTGCCAGCTTTGGTGGCTCTTATAGTCGAACCTGGGCCTTGCCTTCTATAAAGTCTACAGGCATGGGTATGGAAAGTAGTCCAGCATTTTAGGAAGTAGATTTAGCAGTTTTAAAAATAATTGAACATAAATTCATCATACAACTCAGCGATTCCACTCCTAGGCATATACAGAAAGAGAGAAATACGTGTATGTCCACATAAATGCTTGTATGCAAATGTTTCTAGTAGCTTTATTCATCATAGCCCAAAAGTGGAAACAACAAAAATGTTCATCCAGTGGTGAATAAGTAAACTAAACGCGACATATCCTTGCAGTGGAACGTTAGCCACATAAACAAATAGGGAGTGATATAATATGCATCAAGCTCGAAACCATTAAGTGAAAAAAGCTAGACTCAAAAGGCAGCGCTCAGTGGCTCACGCCTGTGATCCCAGAACTTTGGAAGGCTGAGGCAAGAGGATTGCTTGAGCCCAGGAGTTGAAGACCAGCCTGGGCAACATAGTGAGACCCTATCTCTACAAAAAATAAACTAAAGAAAAGAAGACTTAGAAGGCCACAGATTGTATTGTTCTATTTATACGAAATTTCCAGGGCAGATCTATAGAGAAGGTAGATTAGCAGTCACCTCGGGCTGGTGATTAGAATCAACAGTAACTGCATATGGACCCAAGGGTTCTTCCTCAGAGTGATGAGTAATTTTTATGGTCTATAAAACTGTTAGAAAAAACAATGACTAGAAAAAGAAAGAAATCTATGGACAACAGTGCAGTGGCTCAAAGTGTGGGCCAACTCCTGGTGCTCCTGCCTGCTGGCTGTGTGCCCTTGATCCAGTTACTTAACCTCTCTGTGCCTTGCTTTCCTCACCTATAAAATGGAGATAACAGGTGTATCTGCCTCAGCAGGGTAGGTTTAAATGAGTTAATCTTTGTAAAGGTCTTTGTTCAGAGCCTGGTTCATACTGCACACATCACCTTGGTAATT